ACCCACATCTAAAGGGGTAGAGGAAAGAATTGGACGTTCTTCTCTCCAGCACTTACTGCCAGGCTATGCAAGTCTCTGCCTCAGAACACAAAAGAAGCAGAATCTTGGCATCTGTCCTGTAGGAACTCATAAACCACTTCTGGAAGATGAGATCGATGCTCATACATGGCACTGAAGGTGGGCTTTCAGGTGGGCTGGCCCTAAGTGTTCCTGGTGCTCGCAGAAGAGGGAATTGGGTGAGGCCCGGAGTTGTCAGGAAGGCTTCATAGATCTGGCAGAGGTTGAGCTGGGCTGGGAAAGTTGGGTAGATTTTGAAAAGTTGGAGGTAAGGTTGGAGACGTCACAGGAACTCTGTAGCTCTGTAGGAACACAGTAGGGTACATAATCAAAAGTATTTCTTCCGCTGCCCTTGAACCATTCTCTGAATCCCTCCCCCAAGGCTGGCTGTGCTTCCAGGTTCCAATGTACACTTACAGAAATACTCAGTGTGGAGTGCCAGGGTGGCTCAGTTGGTTGAGCATTCCATTCTTGATTTCCACTCAGGTCATGATCTCAGGGTCCTGAGATTGAGCCCCGTGTTGGGCTCAGTGCTCAGCATGGAGTCTGCTTGTCCCTCTCCCTCTGCTCTGCTCCCCTGTGCACCTGCCACCTGCCATCTCTCTCATAAATAAAATCTTAAAAAAAAAAAGAAAGAAATACTCAGTGCATCTGCACTCTGCTTTCTCTTGTTTGTCTTCACAGACTTATTGCGTATTTACCCAGAAAGGCATCCATTCTTTTCCATGGTGGTGTTATAGTCCAGTGTGTGGATGTAATGGTGTTTTAATCATTTCCCTATTAATGGATACTCTGATTGATTCTAGTTTTTGTTATGACAAGGCTTAAGTGAACACCCTGTGGGTAACGCCTTGCAAATGTCCCAGTGGAACAGATTTCTTCAAGTGAAGTTGCCTCTCGAATGTTATATACCTTTACAATTTGACCAACAAAGGGGCACCTCGGTGGCTCGGTCGGTTAAGCATCCAACTCTTGGTTTCAGCTTAGGTCCTAATCTCATGGTCATGAGTTTGAGCCCTGTATTGGGCTTCATGCTGGGTATGGAGCCTACTTAAAAAAAGAAAAAAAAAAAAAGAATTCGACCAAGAAAAAGTTCTGTTCATATGCACTCTGACCAGAGTGTAAGAGTGGCTTTTCATCCAAAGTCTCATCAGTACTGGGTATTAGTCATTTAAAATTTTATCTAATTTATGACAGATTTATTGTTCTAATGGTGTAGTTCTTTAATCACTATTGAGAGTAGGCGCCTATTTTTGTACATTTATTAGCCATTCTATTTCCTCTTCTGTGAATTTTCCATTTTTGTACAGATTGATCATTCTTCCTTTTGTATGTGTTCTTTATATATTAGTGATGTTAATCTTTTTCTATTGTATGTTGCATGTATTTTTCAAGTCTGTCATTTTAAAAAGATTTTATTTATTTGGGGGAGAGAGAGAGAGAGTGAGTGCACAAGGTGGGGGCAGAAGGAGAGGGAGAAGCAGACTCCCCGCTGAGCAGGGAGCTTGATAAGGGACTCGATACCCAGACCCTGAGATCGTGACCTGAGCTGAAGGCAGACACTTAACTGACTGAGCCACCCAAGCTCCCCAAGTGTGTCATTTTTTATTTTAACATTATGGTGGCTTTCACCATAGTAATTTCAAACTTTTATATAGTTCATTAACCTTATTTATAGTTCTCAGATTTGTGACTTGCCTGGAAGGCCTTTCTCCCATCTGAAAATAGCAAAATATTCCTCTGTATTTTCTTGTAGTATTTTTTATCTTTCCTGCACACATACATACGCACACTCCACTTAGGTCTTTGGATCTTTAATCATTTGGAAATATGTTTTTGTGGTAAGATACATGGTCTGATTTCCTTTTCTGAAAATAGATGCCATATTGTTTGGACACCACTGGCTGATGGCCCCTTGATTTGAAATGCTGTGGTAATTGTAAGTACAGGCTTGATGTGAACCATTCATCTGTAACATTGATCTCCTTGCTTTAGTCTTGTTCCTAGAACCCCAGGGTCTTAAGTATTGTCACTCTCTTACACATTTGCTTATCTGGAAATGCAAGTCCTCTCACACTATTCATTTTGGAAATTTTACTGGCTGTTCTTATGCATTTGCTCTTTCATATGAGCTTAGTTTCAACTTATCAGGTTTCAGAACACAACAGTATATCCCACTGGGGTTTTATTGGGTTTGCGTTGAACTCAAAGAATTTTTAAGTGGCAGTTGACAGCATCGTAATGTTGAGACTAGATCCCCTGGTCCATGTTTGGTCATGGCTCTTCTTTTCGCTGCCACCCTCCGAGCCACTGTCCCTTCTACACTGAGCTTCAGAAGCAGCCCATCAAGTGTCTCCTTGTGACCACTGGCCCCTCTGATCCCTCTTCACACCGGGCCAGGGCTTTATGTCAGGTGTTCCCTGGACTTGAGAATATTCCCTTTCCAGCCCCTCTTCCTTCAGTAATTTCTCCTCATCTGTGGGTCTTTTCTCAGTTGTCATTTCCTCAAGGAAACCTTACCAACTAGGCAGAATTTCCTTCCCACGGTTGCCTTTCCCTTCCTTATCCCTTCTTCTGAGTCCAGTTGTCATTCCGCATTTGCTCTGAGTTCTCTGAGCACAGGGCTGTGTGTGCCGTTCCCTTGTGTGGTCCCTCTGCCCTCACCAGAGCAGGTGCACCTTAGTGCCAGTGAGTTTGTTTTTTTCCTCTGCGTCTTCATGTCTTTAAGTAAAACCTTCACAGTTTGCTTTCCATGGTTGTGTCTGTTTTTTGTAAAGCTTATGTCTATAACATTTCCGATTTGTTTTGTTGCTAGTGGGGAAAAGCTGTTGATGTTTGAACATTCTTGTATCTGCCCTGAACTCAGCCCTCATTGCTGCCTGTCTTGTTGGCTTCCTCCTCAGGCTGGTTGGGTACTGGTTAGGTGCAGCCCCAGCCTCCCCTCTGACCCTAACAGCCTGCAGAGGAAGCAAGAGATTGTTGCCCCCAAAAGACTTCTGAAGAGCAGGGAGGGGTTTTCTCCTCAGCAGCCCCCAGCTCATTTGCTCTCTTCTGTGGCTCAGACAGCGTCCCAGGCTCATTGTGGAGTCCCTCCCCGGTGAGGGCGGGGCTCAGCTTCGCACAGCCAATCAGTTCCAACTTCCCCCGGGCTGACTCCCCTCATTACCGGGGCTGCCGGGAGGTGGGGTGGGGGTTGTCACTTTGTACAACCGGGATTCTGCTAGAGAGGTGGAGGGGCAAACAGGCCCGGGGTGAAAGTCTACACTGGACATCCAACAGAATGGTCCTATGGCTTTCCCATCAACCCGGTTGAACGCTTTGATAAAACTAGAAGATGTCCTGACTTGGAGTTCTCTTATTCCTGGAGTAAATCGTGTGTACCAGTCTTTGAACGTCTGGTTGTGTTTGATCTGCGAGGATTTTGTTTTGGACCTTTTGTCCATATTCATGAATGAGATTTGTCTGTGTTACGGGAAGCCCTTTTAGTAATGGGAGTTAACAGAGTGGAAACATTCTGAGATGCAAAGGTCACTTAGTTCCTGGGTCACCTGGCCTCGCTGAGCCTGCTCCTCATTGACACGGTGGGGACAGCCCTGATGGACTCGGCCTGCCGTGAGGAGCAGATAGTACCCATGAAAGAACTGGTTAATGCTAACGTGACGCAGACTCAGAACTCTGTCCCACACGTACACAAGGCACCGTGTTTGTGAGTTTCTTCCATGAGGAGACAGGTTTGGAGAATGCTAACAACGGAGATTTCGCTCAGCTTTCTTCATATAAACCATCATCAGAAAACCAGCCTTGTGCAGGAGGAGAGGCCCTGGGAACATGACGGTAAACATTACATTATTGGTGTTTGCATATTAGGTTCCTGCTTTTCATAATATCCTCGGGGTGCGGGGGAAGATTCGGTATTTTCTGAGATTCTGCTGTAAAGTGCAAGTTATTGCTGGTACCGTCACCCAATTATTCTGTACTTATTTTACTTAGACTGTAGTAATTGGAAAAAGATTAGATGTCAGGACTTTGTATTTTGTTGATTATATTACCAGAGCCTCTTTAATTGTTTCTTTTATTCCTAATATTAATCATGAGCTCCTAGCTGTTAGGAGAAGAGCCTGATGGTGGATTCCTAACTTAAAGAAATAATTACTTCAGTTTCAGTGGGATTGACTGAGTGTTGATACACCTGCAAATTGAAACGTGTTCTCTCGCCGTTCGGGGCATGTGGCTGTGACACGGGGAGACACAGAAGGTCCGACGGACCTCGGGGGCCGCCCCCTCAGTCCCTGCCGTGCCCTCTCCTGCCCTCGGCAGCTCCACACCCGCTGGTTCCGGGCTCCTATGCCCCTGGCTGCCCCTGCGCTCTGTGACCTCCCCACCCGTGGGTATTCGTGGATGCAGCAGCGATTGTAGTAGTCTACCTTGAATAACGTGGCTACCCCCTTGAGCAGTGCTCTGTGAACACAAGTTTATCTCTGTGACATGATCTCTGTCAGAAGCAGTCCTGAGCAAAGCACCTCATATTCGTAAGCAGTGAATGGTGAGAGGGAGATAGGATGCAGGAAAGAAGGGAGCACCAGGGGGGGGGGGTGTGGCGGAAGTGGGGGCAGGTGTTGGTGGGACTGAGGGAGGGAAGGAGGGGGCGTGTGGAGGAGGCCTCTCCTGCTCCAGGGAGGAAGGTGTGTGGTGCCCCACCTGTCCCAGGGTGGCTCTGGGGACACTTGCCATGCATTTAGTAAACGTGCACTCTGTGTGGCTTAAATGTAGACACTTAGCTCTGCCGGAGTGGAGGTCACTCAGAGTCTCTCGTATATTGAGAACAATCAGTCTCTGAAATCTTTCTCACTTAGGTTCACTCTGGTTTCATTTATGGAGCCCCCCTCCCCTCCAGGAACACTGACGAAATAGGTCAAAGCCCTGTGGGGAGTTCGCTGTTTGTAAACCCTGTTTTCTTTGTCTCTTTGTTGTCAACAGAGGAATTACAGAAGTTGAGCTGGTCCGGAATCCCTAAGCCGGTTCGTCCAATGACCTGGAAGCTGCTCTCAGTAAGTCTCGGGGGGGCCTGGTCACCAGCGCGGCCTGGCCCAGAGTCTGGCCCCGAGTGTGGCCTGGAGTGTGGCCCGGAGTGTGGCCCATCAGCCGTGGCCAGGCACGCGCCCTGTCTTTGTGGCAGTGATCTGGGCCTTGGCCTGAGCTAAGGTGACATTTTCCATCTTTTGCTTCATTTCAAGCTTGGTTTGACAAGGCTGGCAGAAAATGAGGATGAGTAATTATTTATGACAGCTGTATTCTTTTCCTGTGGGTTTATTATTCTAGAAATCTTTGTAATATTTTCAAACCTGTGATAGAGAAAGGATCCATCATGGAAGACTATTTCAATTCTTAGGAATCCATCACAGCGAAATACGTTTGACCATTTTTTTTTATTTTTTATGTACTTTACTAGTGATGTAAGGGGGAGAAAGTGATTCTAAAAGTATCTGTGTTTCTTGGATGGAGGGTGGGGTTCTGGTGCCTCAGCCCTGGTTCTAAACTGCCCAACTGTGGAGACTGCTGGAGAAGATGAGGTCGGCGGGGTGGAGTGGCCATTAGCACTCTCTCTGGTGCTTCACTCTGGTCAATATCTGAAGTGAGCTTGGCCCTGCTGAAAACTTTGGAGTCATTTATAGACAGCTTTCTTCTCTTTCCCTTTTTAAATTATCTTTGGAGCTAAATCAGTAGGGAACTCTAAGTGTTTACTCTAAATTGGGTCTGACATTCAGTATTTAAAAGACTCTTCTTGCTAATGAGTCTTAATAAATTTGCAGCTTAGTACCTCGTAATCCTAAATGCAGATGCCGCTCTCAGCAGTGAATATTTATCGATTAAATATTCTCTTGCAATTAAAATTAGACCTGCTACAATTGCTTATGTTTCTGTTTTGTGTCTGTTATTTTAAGCATTTGTGTCTACTTTTCCAAATGTCCTATACAATAGGTTACAAGCTTTTTAGATTGAACTGTAGGAAGTTTTGAGGATAATATGTTTAAGACTTTATAGTGCGATTTTGTATTTATTAAGGTTGTGCTGCTTCTGGGTAGAAAGCCTTCAAGAATGATTTTGTCCCATTCCTTTCCTTTGGTTCTCGGTTTGGGTGCATTGTAGCTGAGCTACCCTGTGTGTGATGCCCAGTGGCTGGCTGGGCAGGCGTGCGACCTGGGATTCAGTGGGCATGGAGCAGAAGGGGGAGGAGATAGATGCTCCACTTTGTTGGTTTGAATGGGAGGGAGGGTGTAGGTGGGTAGAGTCTGTAACCGGGAATGTTGGGAGTACAAGGGAAAGAATATCCGGGCATCTCAGATACATGTATTTGTGTAACCCGTTAACTGACTGCAGGGACCACTTGCCCGGAGACAGAGATGAAGCAGATCCTAGTCCCCCCTGTTAGGAGGGGCTGGGTCAGGTCAGGGCTGCAGCACATTCTGGGATCACACACAGTGGGATGTGGGGGACGCAGGCAGGAAGGACGGGCAGCCACAGAGCAGGGCCACGTGTGCCAGGCTGGCATTCCCTTTCCCAGGGTCTGCAGGTGCTGCAAGGTGGGAGGCTGGGCACTGGGAAGGACAGAGATGAACTTGGCAGTTCTGGACCTCTTCAGGCTTGGGTTGACGGGTGAGTTAAAAAAAAGTGTTGGGGTCAGTGAGCAAAGCCTGTCTTTCCAAAGTGGCAGAGGGTGGGGGCACCAAGAAAGGGAGGGGCGGTTCCAGGGCAGTGCAGACTCCTGTGGATGGCAGGCCAGGCTTCTTGGTGAAGGTGGGGTGTTTCTGGAGCATCTTGAAGGATGTGTCAGTGTCCTTGGGTCGGGGAGACGGGGAGGGCGTACGGCCTATGGGATGCAGCTTGGTTTGGACGAGCAGGAGCCAAGGTGAGCTGGCTCCCTAGGAATGGCAGGCAGACTGCTTGGATTAGGGAGGGGGTGGCTGGGGACCAGGAGCAGGCCACGATGTGAAGGACTTCCGTGAGGGGTGAGGAGGCTGTTTCTGGAGTGGGAAAGCCGGGAGCCTCTTGAACGGTCTTTTGGTTGGTGCCTTCATTTATTTGATCAGTATTTCTGCAGCACTTTCTGTGTCTCTGGCTCTGTGTTTGGCACTGGGAGATAAGAAGGGAGAAGAACCAAGTCGCTGTCCCTCATGCGGCCTGCAGAAAGAGAGGGGGTCCCTGCCTTCCTCTCTCTGCCTCAGGACAGACTGGGGTCTCACCATGGGAAGGAGCCCACTCTCTCAGAAGTCTGGGCCCCAGGGCACTGCTCACCCTGTGTCTCTACCTGTACCTTTTTGCTTGTTTCACAGCATCTATTGAGTGCTTGCTGTGTGCCACGCTGTGCACATGCATGGGATTCCTGCAGAAATGGTGATCTCTGAAGGCAGGGTTGCAAGAACAGATAGGCCGGAATGGCGACCAGGGTCTGGCACCAGCAGGGAGAATGTGCTGTGCTGCTCTAGGGGCCTGTCAGGAGGAGGAGGCGGGCAGCCAAGACAGGGAAAACTGGGCGGGGACGAGGGCCTGGAGGCTGCAGGGGCAGGTGGGTGGGACTCAGGCTGCTGGAGGAGGAAACTGGGTGGTTCTTTGGCGCCGTGCTCACTCATCATTCAGGGCACGTGTGCTCATCATGCCTTTGCCATGTTCTGGGCCCGTGCTGGCGAGCAGTGATGTCATCCCAGCCTTCAAGTGTCCCCAGACAGCCCCGGGAGACAGGCCCATGCACATCCTGTATGCCCGGGGGGGAAGGATGAGCTCTGGGCATCCAGGGGCAGGGAACCCACCAGGTTGAGGGGTGCTAGTCAAACGTGGGCATGGACTGGGGGAAGGAGGTCAGAATGGTGGGGACCATCATTTCCTATCCCCTAAACGCTGACCCAGGAGCTACCTTAGGAGTCTCTCCTTCTCTCCTCCTTACTGTAATGGAAGATTTGGGGAGCACCGTGAAGGATGCCAGTCACTCATTTCTGATGTGGTGTTTCCCACGCGTCTGCCCTTTGCAAGTGCTAGGTCACAAAAGAGTCTTGGAAGATGGTGGGGAGAAAACCCGGCAGGCACTTCAGGGTCATAGGCAGGAGAAGGGTCCCCCAAGTTTAGGCCACCTCTCAGTCACTCTGAATCCGAGGCTTCATGTTCCACTCTCCTGGGAAGCTTTTGTAGATCTTGGTGTCTGGGCCCACAAAGCCAGTTGGAGCCTTGGGGTAAACTGAGGCATCAGGGTTTGTACCAATTGCAGCCTGCCCCAGGCTGGGCAGGGGTGGGGGCAGCAATGATGCGGTGGCTTTGGGCTTTGGGCTGCCTTCTTGACCTCTTGGGTGCACGTTAGTGGTACCGGGGAGCTGGGGAACTGCCAATCTCTGGGGTCCCCGGGGATTCTCACGTGTGCCCAGGGTGGAGGCAGCTGCTCTAGGATGTGTGGGTTCCACGTGGGACAGGGCAGGGCACGCACGGACCAGCTGGGAGAGAGGACCCACTGAAGGCAGTATAGCTGGGCCCGGGTGCCTGGGCTTGACCGACAGCGTGCTGTCCCAGAGGCTCAGCCGAGAGGGTGGGGTGGGGTGGCTGGGCCCAGCTCTTCGCTTCTGGACCCTGAACCCAGGACCGAGGAGAATCTGTCATTTGTCCAGTTGAAAAAGACAACTGAAGCTGCACTTGAATATGAATCTACTTCAAGACCTGGCAAACTAATGGCTTTTTCCCCCAATCTGTTCTCGATTTGTCATTAATGTGATCCCGGTGGTCTTTTGAAGAGCACTATTCTTAATGGATGAGTAGGAAATGCTCCTTTAATGAAGAAAGATGGGAAACTTGGCTCCTGTCATTTACAGAGGAATAACATATACTCTAGTCCAGAACATATCGTTAAACCACCATTAATGCGATTTAACATTTAAATTCCCTGTGAGCACGGCAGTAACTTTTTAAAAATGAGCAGTGTAGAAAATTATATTTTTGGCTCATTTTTTAATAACTACTTCAGAAACATTGAACAATAATTAAACACGTAACATTTGTTCTGGTGAGCAGAATGGTTAAGAATGATCAGTGAGGTGTTGGCATCACCCTTTTTTCTCATGGCGTGTCAAGGTAGGATCGCACATGAACCCGCAGGAGGGAGCCACTGGATGCGTATGTCATGGGGACAATTTTGATATAAGTATATGCAGGTATTATTGTTTTACATTTATGATTAGTGTTTTTATAGCATGCTAATACGGCAATTAAGTTTTCTGTAGTTCTGTCATTTAAAATTCATTGCATACTTGAATATGTTTCGTTTGCATAATTTCCAGTCTGGCTTAATTATCTGAAGGCCCCAACTTGCACATGTGTTTTCCTTTAGGGATGGGAGTATCAGGAGTGTGTGGGGGGGTGCTTTTTATTGCCTCTGTTCCTGTTATGACATCCTGGCCTTTTAGAATTTCTCTTTTAATAAGTGAAGTTAAAATCTGGGAGTGGGGAGAAGGTGTGAGTCCTCGTTCACGGTCACTAAGACGCCTGTGGTGTTACCGCGTGTGACGGATGGAAGGCCGCCCACACCGTTCCCTGGCTCATACCCCTCGTTGCCCCACTGCCCTGGATGGAAGGCCAGCTCTGGCCTGGCCCACAGGGCCCCCCACCGGCCGCTGCACACACGTCCCTGCTTCTCACCTGCCACGTGCTCTGGCCTTGCCGAGCGGCAGCCTGGACACGCTGCCCGGTGCGCTCGACGCAGGCGTGTGACCTTTCTCGGGGCGTCTGCTCTGCTTCTCCCCCTGCAGCACTGTGTTCTCCAACACCAGGGCTGACTCCAAACCAGTCCAAAGCCGGCCCAGAACCGCGTGCTGATACTTGTTGCGCAGTAGCTCAGACCTCTTCCTCCCTGGGCCCCCAGGGCTGGGGCCCTCTGGGGTATGGTGGTCCTGCTGCACAGCACAGCATCATTCATTCGTTTGGCAAGTCTGCACTGAGTATCCGTGGTGTGCCCCGCGGGACAATGAACGTGGGGGGCTTGTGGGGGCGGAGATAGCCTGAGCACAGGGCAAGA